TGCACTCCCTGCTTTGCTTTGCACCCTCTTTGCACTGCTTTGCATCCTCCCTTGTATTTCGTTGCACCCTCAGCTTTACCCACCACTGCGCCCTCCCTTGCTTTCTGCCCCTTTGCTTTACACCCCACTGCCCCCCCTTGCACTGAATCCCCATTGGTTTGCACCATCCCTAGCATGGCTTTGCACCCTCTCTTGTATTGCACCCCCCTGTTTGCACCCCACAGCCCCCCCCAGGCTGCTCCCAGCAGAGCGGTGCTGAGCGGTGTGCACTGTACCCAGAGCCCCCAAAATAGCCCTGATTCCATCCCTGAAAGGATTTCCTGGCTTTGTGAGCCTTAACGCGCCTCGGCCAGCTCTGCAGAACAACGCTATTATTCACAGCTCCGAGGGTACAATCTGCTAAAGTCACTTAATAAAAAAAAAAAAAAAAAAAAAAAAAAAGAAAAAAAACCTTCAAAGGGCGTGAGAAATGCAGGCAAACAAACAGCGGTCTGCACGGGTCCCTTCGTTAGCAGAGCCCTGGAACTGGGAGCCCCCACGTGCATGATAACATTGCAAGATTGATGGGGGGGTTGGGGGATAGAAGGGGGGTCTGAAGGTTCATCACTTTTTTTTTTTTTTTTTAACCAAACTTGCAGAGTGGTGAGCTCTCCAAGTGGAGTGCTTTTAATGGGATTTAATGACACAGAGCACTGAGCTGGGAGCAGAAAATGGGAGAAATAACCCTTAGTGTTGGCCCCAAAGAAGTGACCCCAAAGTTGGTCCCGAAGAAACAGCCCCAAAGAAATGACCTCAAAAGTTGGCTGTGGTTTTCTGTGGTCCCCTCACAGTGACTCCCCCTTGGCCAGCTCCGGATGGAGGGATGCACATGGCGTAAATGAAACCATCACATCCCCGTGCTGCACAAACACACGGTGAAAAGCAGCACGAGGAGGGATTTCCACCATGTTATCAGCGTACAAAGAGAGCTCTGGGTGGGAGGGATGGCTGTCACCCGGAGGGACGGGTGTGACTGCGGACCTTGCAGGGCAGAGGGAGGAACAATGGCACACTGTGCCCCTTGGCATCGCCACAGATGGGGATGGATGGGGGGATTCTGTTGGCAGAGGTGGCTCCAGAGATCGGTGCGATCCATCCCAGTCCCCTCCCATTGGGGCCCTTGAAGCCATGCGCTGCCATCACGCAGTCACAGCCGTGGCACCAAGCCCCCAGCCAGGAGCTTTGGGCAGGAGCTCCAATCTCCACATTCTGAGAAGAATTCAATCAGCAAACTAAGGTATGTTTTTGGAAATTCTCACCTCATGCCGCTAAATGTGTGTAAATGCTATTGTGCACGCAGCAATTTCTGCCTGTTGGTGAGTGGGATAACGGGTTGCACCGAGGCCCATCCCCAAAAGTGTCCGAATTTTGGGATCTGGTATCCCCTAAGGCATAGAAATGGGATGGAACTCAGCACTCTGCATCTAACTCCCTCACACTCATGGTGTCACCAGGGCTGGCATCCACAAGAGGGGCACAGACAGATTCTGTTGCTCTCGGAAATATTTTCACCCATTGTGACCACTGCTGGGGACCAGCAGGCTCCTTGCAGCAGCTTCTGCACGGCATGAGTGCCGCTGCCACCCCCTGCTCCAGCAGTTGGCAACGTGCTGAGCTCGGCCTCCAGCAGAGCATTGCACCAGGAAAGTTTGCACCAGAGAGGTATGAGTGCAGTGTGGCCATGTGTGTGCACAAACACACCGTGCTTCTGGCAGTGCGGTACACACATACGCTGACATATTTATGCAATACTTTTCTCAAAAGGAAAGCACTTCTATTGTTGCTGCTTTCCACATCGGGATGTTTTACATGTAGGATTTGCTTAGAAAAGCTGAGATTCGATAGTGGTTTGACAACAAGGCTGTGTGAAGTTGCTTTCTAGGCATTACAGCATCCAGGTGATACGAGTTATGCCTAATAGGAACTGGGAACACAGCGCAGACCACTCCACCTGCAGCAGCAGCACAGTTTGGCCCTCAATGCTGGACGTGATCTCCCCAGCTGTGAAAACCAATCTGAACCCCACAGCAACCTACAGACTAAGTCGCTTTCCCCCCACTTCTCTGTGCTGAAGCTCTGAGAGGACACAGCAATCTGAGGGCCTTTCCAGGCAGATCTGCAGTGCCACGGGCCGGAGGGCAGCAGCCAACAGGTGTGGCTTTCTCACTGCTCCTCTGGCACAGCGCATCGCAAGGCATTCCTCTACACATCTCCTCACTGCCCTTTTCCAAGGCAGGAGCACGGGGCACGGCTGAGCTCTGGGCTCTGTCCTGGCAGACAGAGAGCGGGGAGGTTTCCATCACAGCTTCTCCCAACTCCAACTTTTCTGGTATAAAAATGACCCTTTTCAGCCTTAAATGAGGGATTCTTCAGCGCAGGGTGAGGTTTTAGGAAGGAGGGACGGGAACGAATGTGGTACTTTAGAACCCCTCCCCTTTGTCACTCACTAAACTCAATGAAATGAAACGAAATGAAATCGTAGAGATTAAAAAGCGATGCACTCAGGGCTGATTGGGAACTTTTCACATCTCCGT